TCCTCCTCCGTTGTTAACTTTAAGATGATCCGAGAGGTCGCGGCTTCATGTCTATTTTGCATCCTTCCGATTCCTGACTTGGTGTGATCTCCAGTATATGCCCCTATTGCCAAGCAGTGTATGTACTCCCTCAATTTAAGTTTATCTTGTTTATCTTTTTGCACTATTCCTCATCCACAAGCGCTAATCTTTGGACGAATCTACTCATGCCCCTCTGAGGCACTCTGAGTAGAAGAACTGTTCAGACCTTTCTTACGGCTTAGAACTTATTTGTGCTGCCATTGTGATAGAAGAGTGCAGTTAGCGTATGCGTTCCGAGCGTTCGGATCCTATTTTGCTCGAATTGCTCATCATTCCAATAGAAGAAAACATAACAACTAATACACAGGCCATTGTATAATAAAAATCCTATTCCGTCTAAACCAGCTGCCGTTTTACTCACCATCCCGACAGCTACAGACCCATGCTGAATATTACCTAGGGTACATTCTTCGAAATACCGGGCCCTACCTTCGTTATTATCCATTTCGGCCGCGTGTCTATCCCTCTTTAATCCCCAAGATCGTACGCGGTCCTCCGTGCGCTACCATACTACAGCGTGATAATGCATGGTAGGGGGTTCAATTCCTGACGGCTAAATGATGATAACCTCTTTTTAGGTATAACATTAGAGTTTTACTCATAAGGATGAACCAATTGTTCCACTCCTTCCACAACGGCGTATGATGCCATGGAGGTCTGTGTCCGTTGAGCTGCTTCTAGATGCCTGGTATTTCCATGCGGTCTGATTTTACGAATGTGGTTCCGAATAATTGATATTTGACGTTTTCTAACACAACCCGTATATTTCGAGACTTTAATTCTTGGGAATTGCTTCTGCGTTGGCATCTGACGTTGGTGACCAACTCAAACGACTTTCATTGGATTTCCCAGTGGATATTTCAATTGTTATAGTTCTGCAAAGTATTGCGAAGTTCCGTCACTAATCACCCTTTTAAATATACATTCGTCACCCAAATTATCCCGAAGTTTCATCTTTCCTTATGCATGGCAAGCCATTATGTTTTACCGCCTTTCTGTCTTATTGGTCTGCCCTTTCCAGCGACAGATAGTTTGGCACTTTCTGATAATCACTGTTCTTTTACGTTCATGTTCGCCGCGTAAACCATAACCGGTTCTTGTTTTTCCTGAATAACATTGACTTTGAGGAATTAAACCAGTAGCACGTAGGAACAATGGTGTTCCAATGCAACAGATAAAGCACTCGCAAACCACCCTGTTGCCTGCACTTTTTTGGAGATAGTTATTTGTAATTACCTCTTCATCTCTTCATTTTGCCCTCCTTTTCCCCGTAAAATACTCTCAGCCTTGCAACTCTTTTCTATCGTAGCAACTTTGGAAGCTAACAGACGAGGATCATCCCGAGAAGGCGGAACTCGCTGAGTCTTTTGGTTGTATGCGGGAACTGGCGCAGACGATCAACGAGGTAAAACGTGATCTCGATACACTCAGCAGTATCGACCAAATCCAGGCCAGGTAAGTGCTTCTCGGATTTGTAACATCGTTTCATGCCCTTTTGATCATGATGATCTGGCATCCACACCCTCACCTTCGGGTACCGTTATTTACCCCTCGTAGAAAAACTCGCTAGACCAGCATTAACTTGACTTATACTACATGGTACATCGCTTCGTCTACAAGCACCACTCGTATTTATGCTATCCGAGTCTGGAATTCTCCTTCCTACATTGCATCCACGAACAACAAAGACTGTTAAACCGAATGCCCTCTCTTTGTGACTCTGTTTGGCTTATCCTCCCTAGTGAATATGCCAGCTTGAAAATGGGACATGAGAAGATTACATCTCATACACCCTCGCCTTTCGCTCACCCAGTTCGTGCGGTCGACCACTTTTGTTCCAGCCAACATTCCCAATCTCCGATAGATATTTATTGGCAATGATCGGGCTTCACATTCCCAGAAGTCAGCTGGTTTGACCGCTGGCCCACACATGCGCACGCACAAATATTTTTCGCTTAACCTTGTGTCGACCAGAGGGACTACTGAAGTTAGGTTAAGGCAGCAAAGGCTAGCTACGTACGGCATTTTTTCTGACCTTGCCCTGTGTGCATGCTGACGCTCCGCTAGATGCGTCTCTTAGCCTACCGTCCTTTTGAGTCTTCGTGACTACCGCGTAAATGTGGGTCAGTTCATGCGCAGATTATGCGCAAGCTATTAGGAAGCGTTACTTTGTGTGACTGATGAAATCTTACCATAGTAATGAATAATTTGACCTTTTTTGCATTCCTAGGCCCAACTAGTCGATCCACATACTGACTCCAGCACCATGTTACTTCAAGTTTCCATTGGCATTTCAAGTTACAAACTCTGTTATATTCATATTTTGAGATTTTTTCTGGGATTCTAGAGATTGTGTGTTCGTTCTACGACTACTCTCCGTCGACTGTTGAATAGGCACGCATTTTGGTACGGTTATCTACGCTTAAAACGGTGTAGGTCGTCCTAATTAGTTAGAAGGAGGTCTTTGTTGGGGTCGGGTACCATTTGCGGTCATCCAAATACCTCACGGGATCTTGGCAAGCGAGCGACACCCATGATATCTGGTGTTCAGGTCTCGCGTCCCTCTGTTTAATGGCCTTTGCCTTGCATTTGCTGTTCTGGGCAACGGAGAATTACATACAAATGCACAAAAACCCAGACATACTTCAGTCTGACTCGAGGTATCGTGACTTTGATAAACCAGTAAGGTTCGATGACTTATTGCTGTTTCTGCAATCAAGTGAATCTACTTGAAGCAAGGGCTGCTAGCACCGTGGACAGTAGTCCCCATGCGCAGACTGTCACGTGCTGCGTTTGGAGCCGAACTTTTTTTTCTAGATCAACTTCGTGCATTGCACCAGTTTGTCCGCGAACTTCATCAAACTCCGCATCCAACTTTCTGCTAACAATCAAACCCTCAACGTTTTTATCGAACCCCGGATTTTTTCGCCAGTAAGCGCGCCTGCCTGCAACAGCTTTTCCGTCAGTCGACCCCCCCCACCCCCTTCTAGCTGACCTTGTTTACGCTGTGCATCATGGGCTGGTGTAGCAGTGCTGTTATAGACCGGTCAAGTTGTAGCTGTGTCAGGTTGATGTGGTCTGTTTTAACAAACTGAGTCTGCCGAGGGTGGCACACCACTTTTACAGCCATATTTTACACAGAAACCTGTCTATCGCAGCGGCTCAAGGACATAATACTTCACTGCACAGACAGCTCGAGTTGGGTTGTAAGACGGTGATTCCTCCCAGCAACTCCGAAACATGACAGCAAAATCGACTATGTATGACGGCGGAAACCATTGGCCCGGGGGGGATGGCGACCTCCATAGAGCGGTCCGAAGGCTATCAACATACTGGCCAGGTGACAACTCGCCGAGTGACTCTGTTCGCGATGTGAGTGGCGGCTTTGTTGTTGACGACCTGGCCAAGGTCGAGCGATGGCGTGAGCACCTCAACTTCGATTATCATCCACTTGCCTCCTCGCTTTCGTCTGCAACAGAATTCTATCTCTTTCCAGCCTCTTCAGTGCCGTGTGACTGCGTTTCTTAGGGGAAAATCGCCGATGCAACATCGAGACTGCGTAACAAAGCGCCTAGAGAGGGCAGTACTCCCCACAGGTCCTGTATCGGCACTTGCGCCCAACGAAGCGTGATTCGGAGGAAGACTTGGACGCACAGGCTAGAGGCCTGCACTATTGCGCATTCTTGAATTTCGTCATGGCAATCAGAAACAGGCGGCCGTGTGTGACCGCAGCGTTCGCATGAGTCCATAGTGGGTCCCTTTGGCGGCTGATGGAACTAGATGCTATTCTTGGAAAAACCATCGCTATGACCAGGGCCTACTATCGCTTTACAACTGCGCGAGTTCTTGCTCAAGGAAGCCTCCCAGTCGTTCGATATTCGATCGGACATTCAAGAAAATTGTGTTCTGTCGCGTATCCAATCTGACTGCCTCGTTGACTGGCTTCTTGGAAGGGCACTTCACTGTTGCGGTGTCAAATTTGCATCCGGGCGCAGACTGACCTCGACTACGCCGACGATATAGTCCTGCTACCTTCAGGCCTTTCCGAACTACATAATGTGATGTCGCCGTTGAACGAAGTCGCTAAATGAGCCGGTCTATCCATAGACGCTGGGCAGACCAACGTATTTTCATGCTGCGTCCTTGACCAGAAGAAAACGCTCCTTGGAGTTAATGCCTGTCAACTTGAGCAAGAAAACAGTTTAAAATACCTTGCAGACGGACTTGCAGGCGACTAGTCAACGGGATTACCAGGGTACATCACTCCACTAGCTGTGTTGTGTCCGTTATGACATTTACGCCTGAGGTCCGAGCCGCCTTTTCCGTAGCTTTGTACGTATATTGGGGACCGGGTCGTGGCTGGCAAGCATAGACAGGCTGTTCAGCCTCATCAGTCGCTTTGCTTGCATCGACCTCCGTCGTCTGGATTTTATCTTGTCATGGGAACATGCTGCATGTGGTAAAAGAGAGTGTGATAAATGCTGCGTAAGTCGGCCTCGGTAGGAACTAATTCACATATGAGTCACCGCTGTCAGGCCTACCTTATGCGGCTGTGATGAAGGTCGTCGTCTGAGACGGTCAAACTACGGCGTATGCCAGTTAAGCTGTCATGATCCAATCCAGTGCTGGTAGAGGACTTCAGCAATGGCGCTCGACCGAATTTATTTATGAACTCTCTAGCAAGCCACCAATGTTTTCTGTTCCCTGGTATTCTAGGACACTGTGATACTGAACAACTAACAGTCCAACTAGTGGACTGTTAATCTCCATGACCGACTGAATCCGAGCTTAAACCACGGCACTTCTCTGCCCGGTGCCAGGGCACGGCTAACCGATCACGATAATTGGGCCAGATTTGGCCATTCCGGTCTCGAGTGACAGCCTATACATTTATAGCTAAATATTAGGTGGATTAGCTGATCACTACTGGACAGTCTTTTAGGTCTTGTATGCTGTGGCTTTCGCCAACTTCACTACAATTTACTGAAGAACGGGAAAAAAAGATAAGGGTAGTAGGTCCCTTTTTGCCAATAAATTATTTTCCTATTTTGGGGACGGAGGCATCACCCCCTAAACCAATGCCGCCTGTTCAAGAATCATAGCGTAAATGTTCCCTTTTCAGAAATCAAGGTTTATATCCTACCTTATCACTCTATTGTACAACAACAAGTAGAAAACTGTGGTTGAACGTTGGGAATTCTTTTGCCAGTGAGGCGTATTGACAGACTGTTGCTGTTGTTGGGTGGCAGGCGATCACTGTAGATAATCGGCGTCGAGGTTGGTGTCAAGGGGGTGACACAGGTTCAGGAGTGAAGTCATCTTAGGCAACAATAAGATGGAAGTGGCAGTTGGGACCGGCGTGCGTCTAGTGGGATGTTGCAGCTGCCAACCGCGACCGTCCAGTTCACTGTGTCTCACTTTGAAGCCACAGACGCTCCAGAAATCGACTAGCTGACGTCTGCTCACTGCCGAGCTGTGTGACGCTATGCTTCCCAAGTGTCCACTCAGGGCGATTCGGGCTATAAGGCAAGTATCACACACTTCAGAGCTTCTTATAAACACTGTATCACAAGTTTTACCGAACCCATGATACGTTTATTGATCCAACTAGGGTTATGCTTCCTGTTCTTCTCATCGGTCTGTGTCTTGGCCGCATTTACTTAGAAAAACTGCATTTTTTAACACTTTCGCCTGTATTTGCATCAGATAATTTGCCTATTTTTCACCCTCCGTCCACCACTTTTCACTATTTCAGCATCGTCGAGATTACTCTGGTGAGTTGTTCTCATAACCCCGAGACCTGTTTTCTTCGCCATTACGTCATCTTTCTTCAGAATGAAATTTGTTTCAGGCAGGGCATTCTGAACAGCCTTTTAGTGGATGGATGTGGCCAGACGACCGCAGAGGGATTATTTATTCGCTGCCTTATGACCTTTTGCCGTCTTGGTGCCCAATTTGTGACGAACAACCAGATACATTCTGTGCTGTAGGGCGCAAGATGCTCCGTAGTTTTACAGGTGTATTGTGCGACTGCTTCATTGAGTCCAGCAAAGTTTTTGTGACCAATAGGAAAGGTATTCGGCCATAGTCGTTGTCACTCTCTCTGAAATAGTAATATCAATACTAATAATAAGTAACAGTACCACCATAATCATCGCGACCATTGCCCTCAATCTGTCATCATGCACACGGTGACGTAGTCGTTGACACCCCCTGGAGCTTGTTGTAATTCTCCCCCACATGATTACCATATGGTTGGACTAACTGGCATAGCAACTGCAAAACAAACAGAGGAAGATTGCGAAAACGAGTTAATGGGTCACGAGGAGCCGTCGCATGCCTTCCATGGATTCCAATTTTCAGTCGTTTCGCTGCGCTCTTTCCATCTGATCCAACCAGCTTCGACGAGCAGGCGTTAGCATGGTGGGCGTTTTCTGGTCATCAAGGGACAATTTTGCTCAATCAAGTCTGATTGAGTTTATTCCAAGTTCCCTACGAAAAAGAGGCGAGAATGCAAGTTCTGCGTTTGTGTTTGAAAAGAAGTGTGCTCGGTCTTTTGAATCACCGACTTAATTGGCCGAGCTTTTGGGGGACGGCTATCAAAGACAATGAGGAAACATTAACTAAGGGGATTGAATTTACAGCTTCTTTAATTAAAGTACTCACAGTTCAGTCCTTGGGACCGATATTGTCAGGTAGAAAATCGGGCCTTAGAAAATCTGCAAAGCACATCCGTCTATATTTGAAGTATACTGGAACAACTTTATGCTAATAACAAATGAGGTGATTTTGCGGTGTCTGACTACTTGTGTGCTACTTACACCACTGACGGAAAACTAGGTCGCCTCTATTAATGAGAACGCAACGCATGATAGGTGGCTCATGGGCTTAGTGTAGGTGCAGGCATCAATCTCTCACCGACCTTTCTAACACCGACCGGTACCTGTTTCCGGGGTGTAGGCAGCTGCTGAGAACTACAGGGCCTCGCATCGCTGTTTCCTGCTCGCATATTTGGTCTTCCGTTGGTCCGGTCTGTTCAGTAACAGCGCCGTCTCCGGTGTGGAATGTGATTGGCGATGTCGGTTTGCTCATCTGCATGCAATTTGTCTTTGATATACCCTACTCTGTTAGAGGGACGCTCACCGATCGCGTTATCGGGCATGCTCATTCCGTTGCGCCTTGGGACTCAATTTAGAGCCTCTGCTCAAGTCAGCTTTTCTTTGACGGTTCATTGTGTTTGTTGCTGGACTCCCTGTATGTGTTTGAAAGCTCAGACACATTCGGACAGTTCCAGTGACTGACCCTGCTTATTTGCAAATGTAATTACAGACGACAAGCAAAGCACCCAGTTGCTCTGCCAAATTCATACCCACTGTCTTCCTTAACGCCTGTGGCCACTCAACTTTGGGATTCGGCTTTGTGCGTGATTGCAGCCCGGAGACTCCAAAACACCATCCTTTCTGATGAGTTACCCTGCCACGGATATGCTTAATTATGCCACACCCCATGCCTGCGTGGTGTCAGCCACCTTCCGTAGTGGCGGTGCAAGTTATACTTCTTTCACCTTCCGCACCTGTCTTTTAGCGCGTGTAGCTTCCGAACTAAAGGCAACCGATTTTACGCTGGAACTTCAGCACCTCTGATCACTTCGGCTTGCGAATGTCGATCCTGCTTCCCCTTTTTAGCCCTGGTCTGTATTTGTTAATGAAAAAAGCAATCCACTACTTCACCCTCACGTGCACAAACGCAGGCACCCACGGTCAACTGCGGTCATCGGACTCATGCGCCTTCATTTTTTGCACCTTTCCCCCTCCTCATCACTCCATACGGACATGCCTTACACAAGCTCTTTCTTAGCCTCATGCTTATGTCTTCGGCGGTTTCCCACTCAAACATGTACTTACGCTTCGAAATTAATTCACTGTATATTTGCCGTCCCGTCTGCCGTCGTGTATTTCCTAAATATCACATTGAGCAAATCCTGAGGTTGGTACAGGTTTTCCGACGATGAGGTCGTTAAGCCATTTTTAAAGGACTGTCTGGGTAGTACGTGTCATCTCGACAACGAATTGTTCCATGTCTATCGAATATGTTGTGCAGGCGATAACGTATCAGTAAAAGTCCATGTCGATCTCTCTCTCGTAGCAACGGTATGTGCCTGATCGCTGTCCTATGACCCAACCACTGTTTTGCCCATCCTTGTCCTTATTCGAGCAGTCATGCAGCAGCGGTTTTTGACTCCCAGAACTTCATGATAACGCACACCCTTAGTGCCCCACCAAATGCTGGACGTGGCCTTCCGTAAAGGAGGCTGTCCCTGACAGCTGTTTTACTGTAATATCCTGCCTCTGGACCTTCCCCCCATATTTAACGTAGCTTCCCCAAATCCACCCCCTATCAGACATTTGTGCGCTTTTCCGTGGACCAGCAATCGGCCTTATGTACCACCAAGCAACGTTTCGGTTGCAGTCGAACAGCCTTTATCTCATGTGATTAATTTGTTTGGGCCGTTGACTTCTGTCGATACTAATAAAAGTATTTAAACTCTCCCTGCCTCCCCTCCCCTCCCCGCCCACACCACACGTACGCCTTAAACCGTGTGCGCGGCGGTTGAACTGTCATCCAAGTCAGTTTACGATTTACGGCGCGTCCTTTTTATCTGTTGCCGTAGTCAACCATTTACGCCCCTCTAAAAGGCATGCTGCCTCGTGGAACTCGGTATAGGTATATGGGGCTGTATCCTAACAATGGGACTATACGATCCAGAGACCAGCAGTGACCAAGTACTCAGATCGCCACAATAATCTGACCAAGTTCCGCCTAGGGAAATAAGACAAAAGAGACCGGAAGGTGGGATTTACTACGCACAGAACCCCGAGCTGCTGTCTCAGCGGCCGCCGCTGGTGAGACCAGGGCGTGCGTTGACGATGTTAAGTCATACCTGCGAGAGAAACCATGGTCTCAGCTGCTTTTATAAGTCTGTGGGAGCAAGCTCATGTGTATTGTGTTCAAGGGGGGGGGGGGGAGCGGTGTGCGTAGGTGCATTATCTGAGGGGCCGTGTGCTTATTGGTCTGTGTTGCATTGGCTGAATGCGCGTGTGCCCGCATGCTGCGGCCGGTCAGACTGCAATGTCAACGCTTCAGCAACCGCTTACAGGTACAGCGAATGATCTTGATTCGGCCGTGTCGTAGCACGTGTTGACGGAGACCTCATGCCTACTCCTCCCTGATTACCTCAACTTTCACCATATCACCTCCTGCAGAGAGAGTGACCTACACTGCTGCTGGCGGCCCAGGCAAATTTTAATCCTTATCGCAGTAAGCCCACGTCGTGACCAACGGAACGTCGGATTTGCCTGGGATGTCTGAGCAGCCCTAAGCACGGAAGCTCAGCCTACCCCTCACGGCGAAGGAACTAGAAAATACGCCCCAAAATCTTGGCTTACAAACTGGCAGTGACTCGTAGACGCCAAACACACAGTCAAAACACTACACAAAACAACTTTCGTTCCCACCCTCCTATTCCTCCCATTAGAGTGACCACGTTCAGTCTAGTAACAGCATATCCGTCTTCTTTTGGATACCACTGTATCCAACCGGCTAGAGGTGGGTCACCCAAGTCTTACAAGAAGTCGCCAGTTTCACTGGGGACATCGTCACTCAGTGAGATCTCCTCTTGGAAAAGTGGTAGCTGAATGAGATCGGTCGCAAGTAAGCTTGTCATTTTTTTGAAGTCAGCCCCGCCATTTGGGCTGGTCTTGTTTGGAAACTGCCTTCTTTCAATAGGTTTTACGCTCCGGGGAAGGGGGGAGGCTGTTACCGTCTGTCAGCGCCCGTGGTAAGCAAAAGATGATACAGGGAGAAGTTCTACGACTTCCCGATCACAAGGAGACAGTATGGATCTCACGAATGCCACCTGCTGTGCATGTGCTCGTCGGGGAGCATGATCGCTATTTAACGTATTCATGACAAAAGCGGAGACCTGTGTTGAGTAGTGGACAGACCATCACCAAAAATGAGGCTGCAAATCCAACGACGGAGACGGTCTCAGGGGGGGGAGAAGGGGCCGAGTGAATGAACTCAGGCAATAAGATTCCAACCTGAGCCACTAGTATGGGTCGCTGGCAAATCTTAGAGGAAGCAGGTGTTGAGTACGATTGACAGATATCGCGGGAAGCCGACCACGCTGCTGCAACTGAAGCCCACGGACCTGCACGCCGAAAACACCAAGACTGGTTTAGTACTGACTGCGACAAATATTACAAAATAAACAATCTCACTGGACCTGCACAACCAAAACACAGAGCGTCCTTGCTCAGTCTCTCTCTTTCGTTCCATGCTCTTCGTAGTGTTTATGGACACGCCCCGAGAGGATCAGACAGGCATTAACACAAACTGTCGAACCGACTGGAGACTATTTACCATCCGCCGTATGCAGGCTATCACAAAACCTGGATCAGCATTCATGACCCGTTGTATGCCAACGACTGTGTGTTTGACATCACGGTTGAAGTAAAGGCCGGTTATTTTCACTCCTGGATACACGAACTTCGGAATAACCAGCAGCACACAACAAAAACGTTTATTATGCACCACTTGGCGCCAACTGTCAAATACACCGAAGCCACGGCAAATGTCAATGGTAATAATCTCGCAACCGCTTGTAACTCTCCTGGGCAGTGCCAACCACCGAGATCGATGGCGTGATTGTAGCCCGAATTTTCGTAGCCAACCCGTCTTTTTAGGGCAACAGCATTCCGCGGAACCCTCTTCAGCACGGAACTCAGGAGGTGTAGGACCGTCATTCTGAGGTGCGAAAACTTGGACGATTTTTCAAAGTCAGGTGAGAAAGCCAAGAACTCTCACCTGAGCTCCTTTCGAAGGGTATTAAAGATAAAGTTACAGAAACGAATGCCCGACCAAATGCTACAGTCCACCGGCATGCAAGGTATCTACGTAATGCTGAAGCAGATCCAACTACGTTATTGCGGCCACAACGTGAGAACTACTGATGAGTGCATGCCGAGTGGGCTCTTTGGTGCTTTGTTATGGGGCACTTACAAGAAAGTGGAGCAACGCGACGCCACCGGTGCACGCTAAAGACTTCCCTTAAGTAGTTAAGATTAATCGAGAGACCTGAGAAGAGCTTGCAAAGGATCGACAAACAACCGACAAAACTGAAACTGCAATCTCCAAAACCAACAGGATAGTGAGGGTTAGGGGAATTGATGAACAGGCAGGAATGAAATGTCGTGGACCAGCGTCACACTCACCTCCTTATCTAAGGTCCAGACTGACCTTGTTGGACGCCTCCTGATCAACTGCGATGTCAGCATGACCGAGCCACTCCCCAAACAAAGAAACACTGACAGTGTCTCCGTATCTTTCCCCTCTGTGAATCCACTCTGTCTCTGTTCGCCCTGACTGGGTACCTTCACAGTCACTAATACTGGAACGCCACCAGGACACAGAAGAAAACTGCCACTAGTACGGACTCAGGACAGACATTTTCCAACAGTGATCGTATATTCCAACTGCTCGTCGTCTTGTTTGAACATTTGCAAATCAATCACAGCACAACTGGATACCCCTCCAATATCTGTCCCGCCCACGCATGTGTATGTGTGCGCGGCGCACGCTTGAACCTGCTACGATGCACTAAGAGTCATGTCTTGGAAGGTTACTAACTGACGGGATACCTCGGTCCTCAAGCTGGGCATTCTGCGGGCCTAGAGGACTGCAATGGCTCCTGAATGTGGCCTTTATGAGATTCTAGTCGCCTTTCTTGTTGCCGGCTACATGACGTGGAACCAGGTCTTGTGTGTCACGCATAGGTCGTCTTAACTCTGTAATGCCATCGGAGCAAGGCGGCTGAGGGGAGAGATGATATGATTGATGCGGAGCAGGCCAGCCTCAAGGTAAGTTAATTCACGCGCAAGTTACCGGTGTTGCGCCTGTTCCTCGAAGCATTCAGTGGACGTCGTCGTTTCTGACTGTCGAACTGTTCGTTTTCGCATATGCGGTACGGAGACTTAAGTGACGTCATCCACTGAGTCCGATTTCACCACTAGTTTGCTCAAAGAGACTACTTGGTTATGTAGGCGGTCGATCCAGCTCGGATCCGATGCCTAGTTTCCTTACTATAAAAGACTTCTCTTTTTATATTATTATGATGCGCCGATAGTCCTGGCATAGGTTGCCAACTGATAGTCGAACGCGGTTCTATTTGGAACCAGGAGTCATGCTGCAATGGCCCCGTTTCATGTTGCCTTTATGGCGCCTCTCTTGTGTGGCGTCCGAGACTCTTTTCTGCAAAATCAGGGAACAGGCCGTGTGTGACTCGCGCAGACGGGCCGTTTAGTTTCGTCGGCAGCGTCGTCAACGCCCATTTCCGGTTTTTACTTTGCCCTGCCATCGGAACATGGCGGGTTTGGATGTCGAGTGTGTTATGGACGCATTGAGTCTGCATTTGTGCCCCCTCCCCCGCCCCCCCCCCCAAACGGGTCACATTGTACATGCGCTAGACCGACACGCGGGTCATATCGTATTCTGGCAGGCGTTATCGGATTGTACACCACAACAAATGCTAACATTTCGAGGTGCGGTGACAGACTCGGTTCTCGGCGGATGTCGCACACATTGGGACCCCTGCCGTTCCCCGTGTTGTTGTTTTTGGATAAAAACCTGGTCATTTGCTATGTGGACCAGGGGCTTGTGGAGTGGAGCGCCAAAGTGCGGGCTTGATCATACCGTCCGCCCGCGCCCTCCCCTACCTCCGTCTTTTTGGCTCTGTCTTGACACCCGATCCAGGTGCGGGAAGTGTAGCGTACGGCAGATGCAACGGAAGTATACCACCATTATAAACTAAACCGCGCACAAGTCACCGTCCCCGTTCACACCTTACTGTGGCGCACACGGTGGACATCGTCGAAAACGACAGTCGAACTGTCAGATCTGCTTCTAAGCGCAAGTCACGTCTGTGTCCGCCTCGCTGTGTAGTGGTGATCCTCATCGCTAGCACAGTCGAACTATTGTCTTTGTTTTCGTCCTGTATTCCCATGCTTCTGAAACAAGCTCTGGCCCAGATTCCTTTATGATTCACGATCCATATCCTCGCCAAATATATCGGACCTTATGATAGGAGGAAGTTGAATCCTAATTTCCTCAGAATACGGCCCAGGATATTGCCCTTTTACCTCTCCATTCGCATTTATCATCTACCTGGGAAGACTACTCAAATGTTACGTTTTTTGAACTTTAAGCAAATTTGCAGGGACATGTTTTATTTTTGCCTAGCCAAACGCTCCCTAATGTCTGTTTTAACCTATTCCGCCTCTGATGTCTGCTTCTTTGCCCAGTCTCACTCCGTAAGGGGCCTTGGAACGTGTTACATACGTTTTAAGTGTCAGCCGAGTATAGTCCGCATCCTGTGACTCGAGCTGCCATTTCGCCTATAAAATGTCCGAAATGGTTGAGGACGATGTTTAAATAACGCCAGGAGCAGTGCCAGCATTTTTTTCGATCTGCTTTCTGGAGTCCATTTTTTTCATCGCGACAGATGACCCTCCCTTGACTCGTCCTCATGGTCTATTTTGCCAACTACCTACTTCGCATCCTCCGAATAGATCCGAGTGATGTAGGCAATGCTAGCCGGTGTAGACGGCCATGTGTGGAAAAAACTCCCAACCGTCCGAGGCCATACAACTGGGCCATCTGGAGATTTCTGCGTCATGGGAGAAGTTAATGTGTGTCTCCCCCAATGACTGAATCAGTACTGATCTAATGCGGGATCTAAAGCTCTTCTGCTAGGAATGGTAGTAGCAATAAATAAACCAAACAATGGCGGCAAGAGGTTGACCCAAAGCTGAATTTGAAGCATTTTGGATCAGACAGACGTCTAGGTTTTCGTACTAAATTGGAAATTCGGCAACAGTGGAGGTAATGAAAGAGGACAGACTGCTTAAAAAGTTCACGCTTTGGGGGCCACACCCATTTTTTCACCATCAACCACGGTAGTCGCTCCTGTGCTAAGAGGCAATGGACTAACGCGCTCTTACTCTTTCTGCAGCCACCCGGAAAGAAACTGTCTAGTTACGGACGACGTCAGATCGACGGGGAGTTGCGCGTTCTAAACCACCAGGATTCGAAATCGAAGATTAGGTGAGTTCTTTCCGCTACCCTTCCTGATTTTTGTGTGCGTTGATGGGTTTGAAGCACTATGTATACGGCTTTTTCAAGCCAATTGTTTAACTTTACGTGCCACAAATTGTCCGATTAAACAAAACACCCACGCAACATCGACTGTCAACTTCCGTGATGCCGGGCGCCTGCGCGCCCGCCTGTGACACTCTGATTTCGATGTCATATCCGGCGTACATTGAACATCTGTCTACTCGTTTAGCCTCCCTGCGCTTTATCTGTTCGATTCAGCGGCCAGACCGTTTCTTGAGTCGAAACGCCCCCTCCTCCACCCCCTCAGTGTTATTACCATCATTAAGAGTACGTCGATTTCCACCCTCAATCTTGCACATTTTCTGTCTTGGATTTGACGTATGTTCACGGGCACCCACCAGTTCAAAGTACAACACAGTCCACATCGGATTATATGCCAGTCCAGGTTCTTGACTCACTGACCAATGTTTTGCGTAGCACTCGGTGGAACCTAGTATGACGAAGAAGACTTTTAAAATGTCACTCTGTTCATGTGTTTTCTTAAAGTAAGTAGTCAGTAAAAAAGTAAGCTTGCCTGCGTTTTAAAACAAAAAGTAGTTGTGCTACCTATTTTGATTGCGGAGAATTTGCTACTCATACAAATTAAGTAATTGCGCCTTCTGGACGCGTGACCAAATTTGCGCATTCCATGAAATTTGGCAAATATTGCAGAATTCGGGGTCTTCACATGTGTTTTATGGTCACATCTTTTCGGGTAGTAGACAACTAAGTCGATAAACGTTTAGGAGTGCGATATCGCTTCTGGATGATGCTCTGGGTTTATGTCGCTTTTATCCGTCGTCCGTTGTCGGCGTAGGAATGGTGGAAAGTAAACAAACCACAGAACCTACTTCCTTCGACTGCAGTACATTTTTACCCTAAATCCAGGCTGTTCTCACAGCCTGTCGCCCACCGTTCTGAAATCGCGACAGAAGTCCTCGGGTTACGGCCTACGCCAGCATCATTTAGCACGTCATTTCTCTAAAATCACAGATTTACGTTGTAGGTGTTTTGTAAAATAAGAGCATCCTGCATTTCCATGATTCGAGGTCCATAATCGCTATTTGAAGCTTAGGTTTTAAGCAATAAGTTGGCGTTTGTTGGACCTCCAAACACATCAGTACTGAATTCATATAAGTGGTATTTTACTTTTAATTATTCGAATTAGTTTATTTTAATGTAAGCCCCTCCCACCTGTCCGAGAGTCTTATGCGTAGAGGAAATGGACAAATCATCGCATGCCATTTCTGGTGGCCAAGCGCTGAGAGTACTTAGAGCGCTACAATATTCAAGCCAAATCTCGAGTTGTTGTAAAAAAACTAAAGTCACCGGATTGGGGGGAGGGGGCCACTGAATTCAGAACCCTGAGTTGTCCTCCCAGGCGACAGTGGCCGCTGGCGAAGCCAGTGCTAGTGTGGACTGCGTCCACTCGTACCTGAGAGTTAATGAGATGGGGATGGCCGCTGCTTTTGTGGAATTGAGACCAGTTCAGGTGGTGCCCAATTGGTGAGTTTAACATTTGCCGGGGGCTGGTATGTTCAAGTGGCACATGGGCTACTGCGACTCTGAACGCAGGTGCGTCCGAGTTGAAGTCGGTCGAGTGGCTGCAGGCCAGCGTGTCTGGAATCGTCACCTGCGAATATGAATGACCTTGACACAACGGGACCTTGAACAAGGACGTCAGCCATCATGGCAATGACGGCTGTCGTCAGCACATTCATTATAGCGAGTGTTTCTCAAGGTACTATTTTTAGATTCATGTAAAACCTAATGAATTTCACTTATCATGTGAAATTTTCACTACATTTATTCCTTGCTTGTTGAGGTTATGTTAGCACCGTCTCACTGGTCGAAACTAATTTCCGACGTACTTTCCTCATGTCACTAGCCGTCGAAAGGAGAACGGACACCACAAGGACATCATTTATTCAAACATCTTGAAATTGAGGAACAGGTTCCGAGAGATCTGTGTTCTATGAGGGTTCAAAACGGTCCTCTGTTAAATTTAGAACAACATTCTTCGCAGTCGGAAGAATACCAAAAGCCGGCAAAAAATCACAAGCGTTCAACAGTAGGACGCAGAGCAATACCGCCAGTATTGACTTACTCGTCCTCTCATTGTCGTTGTGCATTCCGGGGGTAGATTGCACCAGTTGTACACTACCAGCATAAGCCCTCCGTGCAGCATTCCAAACTCCGCGGACTGCAAGGGATTGTTATTCACGATGGTGTCAGTATAAATAATTAACATCATTGTCCGAAAGTGGGCAGAACCAGCACCGCCCAGGCAAGCTCACAATGCTAACTTGCTCGTGCCTTCGTTTTCGCTGAGGCGGACCTTCACTCCGATTTTCTCACGCTGACTCAGTTTCTATGACAAACACAAACAAGACAACTGGAGGTGGACCTCCGAAACCACACTCACGCACACCAGGACTCTAATCGCTTCCCTTTCCCAAATCAGCTGAGATTGCGTGTCAGAGCGGCTGAAGACGCGGGTCAAAGAGCATATATTGGGCTAGTTTGTGGTGACCAGTTTGACCTTAACGGTTGTATCCTGGCCCGACACAGTCTGTCATGACATGGAATTGGTTCTCGAGCCTTCGGTATTTGGTCTCCGTCGTAGGTAAAGAGAATAGGTTAAGGTGTCCTGCTCTACTGCCGCGGATCACCACGCGTGAGGTACAGTCCGTGGCACCATCGAGGCCGGTTAGATCAGACATGGTCGAAGCCGTACCAAGTACAAGTAAATAAGTCAGTATATTTAAGACGATGAAGAACCGATAACGCGTTAGTCCGCACATTGACCGGGCAAGCTGCCTTGCTGGCGGAAATAGGAAAACGGGGCGTAGTCCATGCTGGTACTCACTGCCTCATCACAGCGAATCCTTGCATAAGTTAAGTCATCGCAAATTCTTAGGAGTAGCAGTTTTGAAATTTTGCACCTGGACTTCTAGGCTGTGCATCAGGTTAGGGTCGTTTTATATTAGCTTGATTCTGATAGCAACTCTTACGAATACAGTTATCCAAGTCGGAAGTCTTGGTCACTCTGCGTGATGTAGCAATTTGCTTCAAGCGCATTAATCGGGTTGAAATACCCGACGAATTAACTATTATTTTGTCCGTTCGTCCTACCTAACTGTTTACAAGGGCAGGAAATGTCTATCAGTATCAGTATCAATGTATTTCAGGGAACGAGGGAGGAACCAGACAGATACTGCGTGTTGTAGTCGGCCCAACACGCGAGCTATCAGCAGCAGGAAAGAATTGTCAGCTTGCGTAGACAGTTGAATTGCCAACTGTTTTCGTACCCTGGTATTTCCTGGTAGGGCCGAACGGATGCGGCGTGCGAGTTTCTTATCAGAACTGCTCATGCGATCTGCCGTTAGACTATTGCTCACCTAGTACTCCTGTAGCGCAACCAGTGCACACTTGGTCCGATGGGGGCTTCCGTCTCAGCCCTTGTCACCCCCAAACTTCATTACCTTGTGGCGCTTACTGCTTTGATAATTCTTTTAATCTTGATTGTAAAAAACGCAGAGTAAGCAGGCTATTCCACTGACTCATGCACACATTGTCCGTTGCCTAAAAGGCGTTAGATGGGGTCTTCGCTACGCGTCAGACAATACGCTAGCAGTCGTCGCTTGAAAGGTAGCAAACTGACGAGCTTACTCGATCCTCTTCAGAACTAAGGCTCAGTCCCGAATGACTCCATCTTAACATTAGCCTTTATGGCGCTTTAGCCTTTGTGAGACCCAAGACTCTCTTAGTGAAACCTGGTTCATGGGAAATTTTGGTCCAGATTGTGTGTGGCATGCGCAGACGTGACGTTTGGATTGGTCAGCCATCACACACGCACGCCCAACCTCAGTCGTCTTGATTTTGTCTTGCCATTGGAACGCGTCGGATGAGAGTAGGTACACGCAACGCAAAACTGTCGTTCTATAAACAAATTCTCACACACAAGTCACTGCCGCGCCCGCCTCGTGGGTGTCATTGGTGAGCCGCGTCTCCTGTGACGTTCGAACTATCGGATGACTCGCGTGTCCAGAATCATCCGCCTATTTCGCTGGAGACTTCTTAGCGTCCACTGTGTGCCTTCCGTTCTCCGCCTGAGAGTGTGATTTCGTAGTATCATGTTGTATGAGAAAACGTCCATTAGGATACGTTTATTTGACAACTGGTGTCTTAGCCGGCCATTCTGACCCCTCGTCATCAAAGACTACCCATTTCAGACTTCAGATCGGGTTAGAAATTTCACAAGTTGTCTTGAGTTCCTATGCTACTGCCAGCATCGACTTCGTTTTTTTCATTCTGTGGTAAGATATTCGTCCTGGTCTTGGAGGGGGGGGGAGGGGGGGGGGTTTGCAGTGCCCATGACTTTTGCGTATGCTCTGCTGGGCGTTAATGCGGAACTTCCCAAGCTTTTGGTCACGGACGTGATTTGGGCATTAAATCTTTCATGGTGAAGCAGACTTGCCCAACTAATTCCCGCTATCTCCTCCCATTCCCGTTATGCCTCATTGGAAACAGTCAAGAAGACCGTAGGTGAGCATGACACAGTTGCTGAGAGGGCTCTGACCCCATTTATCGTACCTCACATCATTTGGGAAGGGTTTTAGGATTTTACACAAGTGCAAATGACATATAGGCCGTGATAAGAAGTCCTCGCAACCTGCCCTTCAATTCTAAGTAGGACCGAATTACCTCTTTAGTTGACAACCTCAAAAGCCGCGACTTATCGCGCGTGATAGCTTCAGGCACGGTAGATTGATTTTAGGGAGCAATTTATGGTTTTTCGTGCAGATTACTTCTGCCTCAGTATCGACCTCATTCACCATTTCCGCTTTCCTACACATCAGCTAACTATACGAGCCTGCCAGTCAGCTGATGATAATTGCGGGCACAGCGCCTCCGTGAATATGTGTCGCACACATGCCCGTCCCTCTACCAATCGAGACGAGTCATCGCCACGTTGCACGCTCCTTGCATAATGAGATGTATTTTCCCACATCCGGCGTTTTGCCCATCATAACTACGTTGGTAAATTGCATCATATATCTATTACATGGGTGGGTTGTGATGCTCTGGTTGCTGGTATGTATATGCGCGTGACCTAATAGGCCAATGCGGTGTCCGAATGTTCCTGAACAAGGCGTGCGCGAGAGTTATATGTCGGCGTTCCAGATACTGATTCTTCGGTCGCACTTCGATAAATTCACAGGTGTTCGACCAAGCCGGTGCGTGATTTGAATGCCTAGTCACGATGACGACAACTGGGACCTATGTCTGCATTGCTGATTGGGATGGCGGTGGTTGCGAGTGTCTCTTATGTCTTGGTGAGAGGACTGCATCCAATGATGACGTTGCTAGTGGTGTTTTGTGATGTGAGTTGTGAGGTGGTCGTATGGGGTTCAGAGATGTTCATTGAGCCAGTCTGCGCCTTGGATTTATTTTGGAAATGCAGACAGAATGTCAGTGGTTGGGGACTTGTGTCGGTTGTGCGCAACGGCTGAGTGTTGCATTGCCTTCATCTCTGCTGTTCGGTTGGCTTTGAAGTAGGCTGTTCCACTATTTATAGCAGTGTACCACGCTTGTCGAATCTGCGCGAGGCTTTCCCAAGACACGCAATTCCGTTCTGCGGACATTGTTTACGGCGTAATCCTCAAACAGTCACTTGGACAAGATCTCGTAATCCAGTTTGGCAGTGTTGCGACTCCAACGCGGTTGTATCTGCCTAGGCATGAGATAGATACTGGGAGCGACTGTTCCTTTCAAGACCTCAGTGCCTGGTATATTTTCTTACCACCTCAGCTGCACTTCTCAACGAAAGTACTTGAGAGAAAAGCGACCGAGCCTCTCTTTTTGGCTTTAATACCGCCCATGTCTGCACGCCGTGCAGGATCGTAGCCAATAAATCCGCCCTGCACATTCGCAGTTCCATGTTGGGATAGATGCCGCGATGATTGCCTGTTCAGTATTGTAGCCTGATGCAGGCCTGGCCGATCTGGTTTACAATTTCGTTGTTGATCTTGATGCTTCCGATATAGTTGCAAGAGTACTTCCCAGGCATGCGAATTTGTTTAGTGATGTGAGGCGAGTGCCATTGACACTATGGGTTTGTTTTAGTCAGCAGTTGGCTCCAGCTAGTCTAAGACCCTTGTGTTCTCCGTGCTTATCGGCGGTCCGAGGTTGGAGCTTTCGTAGTCGCGGAGGTTGTGCGTTAATTCGGTAGTTCGTGTTGGTTTCTGACCGCTGCTCGCGGTAGGCGTCCATCAAGATGGCGATGAACATGGGACTGAAGACAGCAGGAGCGAGTACTCAGCGCAGCTTCTCTCTTGTCATCGCGACTGCTTTAGAGATCGTAATGCGCCGTTGTGTGGATCGCCCTGTATGCTTTAGTCTCATCATGATTTGCCTTATTTCATGTCTGTGTTCAAGTAGTCCGTCAGGTCTACGGGGAGGGCTTAGGGTTGCTCCGCATCGCCTGTCACTTTTCTTGAAGTTAGTGCACGACGAAAATCATGGGCGTGATTTCATGGTCTTTCTGAAACCGGCTTTGCATTTCTGGAGGAAGTCGCTGCCCTACATGTGTGGTCAGGCGGTCGAGTAGGACTCGGGAAAATCTTACCATCAATGCTGACAGAAGAGATTCTGTTGTGGGTGTCACAGATTTGACAACTCTATTTGCGTTTGTTCAGATGAAAAATTGTTACATTTTCCGGGACCAGTCATTTATTTTACTGCGTGGGGTTTTTAAGGTGGCCAGAAAGAAGCCACCGCCGAGCACTAGATGCTGGTCGGGCAGCACAGAATGGCCACTTCATTCAGTAAGGCATATAAGAGGACTGCGGACATACAAAAGCAGGTTCCCTACCAGGGCAACTTATATATCCTGCCTAATTTACGCCGAGAACAGTAGCTGGCCCATCTTATGAAATGTGTTTCCGATTAGAAAGGGTTACCGAGGTGCGGTTCGAATATTGACCTTCGTGCAGCATAATCCCAAGATATTTCAGTCACGCCAGGGTGCCGACTTTTGACTGACCGGTAACCATCGGGAGATGGCACCCAAAAAAATCCGCCTAACCAAAACAGCCTGTTTTACGGGACAGGCGGTAACAAGGGTTTTATGGGTGGTGGCTGGTCGCGATGTACGATACTAGCCGACAGAAAGCCTTATTTGAACAGGTGAATGATCGAAGTTGGCCCGCTCTCCGTTCCGTTATTTCAAAATGGGTCGTCAAAGGCAGTGTAGTGGTAACGGACGAGTGGAAGGCGTATAATCGTCTTCCCTCAGAAGATTATCTACATTTCTCTGTTAACCACTCAAAGAACTTCAAGGTCCCTACCACCAGACGGCACACCAATGCCACTGAGGCATATTGGAGTAGACTGAAAAGGGAACTCCACGAGGGAGGCCCTGCATGTGGTCGAGCTGTGTGGGTTCACATAGACGAAGTACAGTATCGTCTTTGGTTTGGCCTCAATGCCATGTCCTTGACAGGTGCCTTGGAACTGTTCCTGTCCCATGTTGTGCAGACTTATCTTAGTTAGAAGTGATTTTGTTTTGTAATAAACTGCCATAATGGGAATGTATGCCGTATGCTCAGTTGTGCGTGTGTAACGATGGGGAAGGTTGGGTAACAGCGACCATTGTCCATGTAACCTCCTGCCAGCCCATGTTAGGCCGTCTCGGAAAGTCCAAGGAGTGCGTGAAAGTAGGCCTGCAACCGCTGGTATAGCCTGAAGGCGTTTGAGTCCACTGTTATTGGTATCAGTTCTAGGTAACGGATTTTTTTGGGTGCCATCTCCCGATTGTCCGGCCACCAGAAAAAACCGCACTAGGTCGAAAAGTACTACTTAAGCAGCATGACAATATCCCATTGACCTCCTATGCTCATATTAATTCAAACATATGAAACATGCACAAAAATACTCCTTCTTGTGCTCATTTGATGGCAAATCATGTCATCTTTAAATGGCACGCTTAGAGTTTGAAAGGCTTTTAATTCCTGAGTAATTTCGGAACCGACCTGCAGTTGCACTTGCGCTGAGGGTTTCCAAAATACATGGCGTACACATTCCTTGTAAGGAAAGTCACACCTTTCTATTTGCAATTATTAAGAGGTCACATAGGGCCCATGAAGCTTTATAATGCATATAGACAATGCTGTGCACTCCATCAGCAGCATTTGTAAATGGGCGGATACGATGCTGTACGAATGCACATTTCGCGGTCTTAAAAGGCCCATAATATGAAACTCCCTTAAAACCAGAAGATACTTTTTCTTCAAGCCTAAAATCCGAAGAAGACAAGAAAGCAATTTGCCTCCAAATGAGTGCAAGAAGGAATATTTTTGTGCACTTTTTCTATTTAATATATTTAAATTTATCAGAATATCAAAAATAAATGGGAAAAAATCATGCTACTTAAACAGTAGTTTTTACGAAATATTACTTGTGTGAGCGGTCGATAAGGAGCTCATTTGAAAGCCAGGCTCTGGTGTGACTGGAACATCCTAAGATTATGCGACACGATAGTTTGAATGACAACCCCACTTAAGTAATCTTTTCCAATTGAAAACACATTTCAGTCAACGGTCCTTGAGATAGCAAATCTACTGTATGACGGACAGTTATAGCAGGTACAACAATATTGTAGGTTTTTGGCCCCTCTTTATTCATCCTCTGAGTCAGGAAACAGTTTTCGCCTCTCCACTCAAAAATTGTGAGCGAGATCACCGAAGAAAGACATTCAACACATTATCTTCCTATTGTGTGGAGCATTTTATTGGTTGCATCCCCTTTCATTCGCTGTTTAACTTCGTTTGCGATATGAGACCGAGTGTCCTAAGCCAGTTAGTTTACTCGTTTGCAATCTCATTTAGATGCGATGTGGTTGGGCGTTGCCACTGAGAATCACAGGAACTTCGACCTGGCAATGCAGCCTGCCCATCGCATAACATCCAGTGCACCTCTTGGAGACAGTGATAGTTTGCAAGAGTTTCAGCCATCTTTCGCAAGTTGTGGTGAATGAGTTCGACTGCAAGCCAACGTACTAAATACGTGCTCGATTTAATTTCTGTTCGGAAAAGTGCCTTAGCACCCGTGCATTGTGCCGATCGTTGACGGTTGCCGTAAAGGTTTCACATTTTATTTGCATTTCACGGGCCGAACAAAAAGTGCAATTCCGGCTTTGCGAAAGATGGATGAAACACAATTTAACTATTTCCCCTCAAACCTGTACCGTCCGAATGGAGTTTTTAGGATTTCTGTCGTTTACTTCAAATATACTGATTGATACTGACTGACTGAACTTACTAACGGCAGTCCCACTGATCGTCTAACAACTGTGCCTTCAGTCTGGTCGAGCCTTCACCTATGCATGTTGCAGCGACTTTAAAATTATTTCCCACCCGACATGACAAATTACATCATCTTTTTAATGTAGACCATTCCTCGAAAATCGGATTCACTGTGGTTCAAGTCCTCTGAGACAGCCAGGTCTACCTACTATGGTCTATCTTATCATGAAAGTGCTGCGTCAATTTCGAAGGTAACATGCGTGTACGACAGGGGAAGGAGGGGAGGATGTAGTCGATCTGTCTTTATGGTGACATTTGCGGCCATATGTTGTCGGTGCCAATTACACAGATGCATACGCG